TTTTTTTTTTGAGACAGAGTCTCACTTTGTGTCCCAGGCTAGAGTGAGTGCCGTGGCATCAGCCTCGCTCACAGCAACCTCAATCTCCTGAGCTCAAGTGATCCTACTGCCTCAGCCTCCCGAGTAGCTGGGACTACAGGCATGTGCCACCATGCCTGGCTAATTTTGTTATATATATTTTAGTTGGTCAATTAATTTCTTATATTTTTTAGTAAGACAGGGTCTCGCTCAGGCTGGTTTCGACTCCTGACCTTGAGTAATCCGCCTGCCTCGGCCTCCCAGAGTGCTAGGATTACAGGCATGAGCCACCTCGCCTGGCCTCCGGCTAATTTTTTCTATATATAGTTAGTTGTCCAATTAATTTCTTTCTATTTTTAGTAGAGACGGGGTCTCACTCTTGCTCAGGCGTGGTTTCGAATCTCGCCTAAGTGATCTCCTCCACTTAGCCTCCAGAGTGCTAGGATTACAGGCGTGAGTCACCGCACCCAGGCTATATACAGTTTTATATTTTGCTTTTTCGGTGTACCGTGAGCATTTTTCCATATTCCACATTCTTCAATAATATGTCTTTTGATTGCTACATAATATTTTATCATATTTATTTTGTTATTCCTCTGTTATTGGACATGTTAATTTCTTTTTTTTTTTTTTTTTTTTGAGACAGATCGCTTTGTTGTCCAGCTAGAGTGAGTGCTGTGGGTCAGCCTAGCTCACAGCAACCTCAATCTCGGCTCGCAAGTGATCCTCTGCCTCAGCCTCCCGAGTAGCTGGGACTACCAGGCATGGCGCACCATGCCCGCTAATTTTTATAATATATCAGTTGTGCCAATTAATTTCTTTCTACATTTATTGTAGAGACGGGGTCTCGCTCTTGCTCAGGCTGGTTTTGACTCCTGACCTTGAGCAATCCGCCCGCCTCGGCCTCCCAAGAGCTAGGATTACAGGCGTGAGCCACAGCGCCCGGCCTTAATTTTTTTTTTTTTTCTGTTGTGAATAAGGCTACAACATTAATCCTTGTATGTGAATTTCTTTTTTTTTTTTTTTTTTTTGAGACAGACTCTCATTGCTGCCCAGGCTAGAGTGAGTCGCGTGGCGTCAGCCTAGCTCACAGCAACCTCAAACTCTGGGCTCAAGCAATCTCACTGCCTCAGCTCCAAGTAGCTGGAACTACAGGCATGTGCCACTATGCCCAGCTAATATTTTTTTTGTATATATATTTTTAGTTGGTCAATTAATTTCTTTCTATTTTTAGTAGAGACAGGGTCTCACCCTTGCTCAGGCTGGTTTCGACTCCTGACTCGAGCTATCCTCCCGCCTTGTTCTCCCATAGTGCTAGGATTAGAGGCATGAACCACCACGCCTGGGCTATATATGAATTTCTTACCATTTCCTCATAATGACTAGGACTGGTTTTTATTGCCAAATGCAAATACCTAACAAGTTGCTAAATCTCAGTGGCTACCTCTCATTGCTCGTCTTGGTTGGCCTGTCTGCCGTGTTTGGCTCAGCTCCGGGCTTCTGCTTTCCCTCCGGTTTCACTAGCTGCTCCTCTGCATTCTCCTGGGCTGAATCTTTGCTCTTTCCCTTACCTCTTAGTGTTGGATGCCACAGAAATCAGTGTGTGGACCTCTTCTTTGTCTACATGCTCTTCCTTGTTGATTTCATTTAGTTTTGTGACTTTAAATATCTTCTCTGCCAGGACAATTCCCAAATTTATATTCCCAGGATAAATCTCTTCCCGGAATGCTAGATTTGTAGAGGCAACTGCCACAACACATCTGTACTTGGATTTCATAGAGGCATTTCATACCTATCATGTTCAAAATAAGCCCTTAATCTTCTGCCCCAAATCTCTTCCACGCAGTCTTCCCCACGGCAGCACATGGCTCTCCTTTCTTCCAGTTGCTCCAGCCAAAAAGCCTAGAGTCATCCCAGACTCTACTGTTTCTTCTACATCCTTCTTGCAACCCATCAGCAACTTCAGTCAATATAGACTCTGATGGCTCCTCACCACCTCCACTGCTGTCCTGGTCCAAGCCACCACTGTCATTCACCAGATGCTGCAGTGGCCTCCTAAGTGCCTCCCGGCTTGTGCCCTTTCTCTACAGCAGTTATTTACATGGCAGCCTAGTAATCCCATTAAAATTCAAGCCTGCCTACAGCTTCCCACCTCTCTTCGTGTAAAAGGCCCTGCATGATCTGACCCCCGTGTCCTCTGTGACCGTCATCTCCAGTCACTCTTCCCCCAGCCTCTGCTCCAGCCACGTTGGCCTTGCTATTCCTCAACTGTACCTGACATTCCCACCACAGGCCCTTTGCATTTGCTATTCCCGCAGCTCAGAACTTTCTCCCAGATGTTCCTTCATCTCCTTAAAGTATGTGGTCAACTATCATCTCAGCAAGGCCTCCTCTGACCACCCCATTTAAAACTGTACTCCAACACTCTCTGTCCTCCCTTCCCTGCTTTCTGTCCATAACACTATCACTGACGTGTTGTATATCTTACTTATTCTGGTTTTTTTTGTTTTTTTTTTATAAGCAGCGCCCGGCCTTGAGGCTCTGCAAGCACCGGCCGCTGGGCCCTTACTTATTCTGTTTATCATCTGGATCATCCTAAGACATGAGTTCCACAAGGAAGTTTTGTCTCTTTTGTTCACGGCTATGTTGCCAGAGCCTGGAATGGGGCCTGGCACATGGCAGATGCTCAGTAGCTAATCCAATGAGTGAGTAAGCAAGCCATAGTAGTCTTCTCCCAGCCTTCTTTTTCTATCATCTGTTTCCTCTTTCTTTGTGTCTGAGACACTACCAGTCCTGGCCCTGGCCCTATTTATCTCTGGCCATGCCTTCCTTTTCTTCTCTGCATTCTTTTGTCTCTCCTCACCCCTGGCTAGGTATTCTCAAAGACTATGGTTTTTGTTTTTCCTTGAAAGAAAGTCTCCCTCTGTTGCCCAGCCTAGAGTGCAGTGGTATCATAGCTCACTGTCACTTCCAACTCCTGGGCTCAAGCGATTCTCCTGCTTCAGCCTCTTGAGTAGCTGGGACTACAGGTGTGCACCACTATGCCTGGCTAATTTTTGTTTTTAATTATTTTTTGTAGAGAGTCTTGATATTGTCCAGGCCGGTCTCAAACTCCTGGCCTCAAGCAGTCCTCCCACCTCAACCTCCCAAAGTGCTGGGATTACAAGCGTGAGCCACTCTGCCTGGTATAGTCTGTATTGTTCTTAAGAAGGTCCTTTAAGAAAGAAGTTTCAGCTAGGTGCAGTGGCTCATGCCTATAATCCTAGCACTTTAGGAGGCTGAGGCAGGAGGATCACTTTTAGGTCGGGAATTCAAGACCTGCCTGAGCAAGAGACTGCCCATGTCCCCTCACCCCCAACCCCTGTCTCCACAAAAAATAGAAAAATTAGCCAGGCATAGTGGCACACCTGTAGTCCCACCCACCCAGGAGGCTGAGAAAGAAGGATTGCTTAAGCCCAGGAGTTGTAGGTTTTGGTAAGCTATGATGATGCCACTGCACTCTTGCACTGTAGCCAAGGCAACAGAGTGAGGCTCTGTTTCAGTAGGGAATTGGGGACAGGAGGTGGCTTTTTGACACTTGCATGAGATTGAGTGTGACAGTGCCTGGCACGTAGCAGGCCCTTAATAACCCCTGGCTCACTGCCCCTGCCTGCTGAGTCAGTGGCATTATATCAGACTCTGGGACACCCTGGTCTGACACTTTGGCCTTGTCTCGGATTTATTCCCTTCTGTCTCCTTAATGCAAGACTCCATGGATTCTTGAGGCTTTCCTTGTTTACCTGTGCTCATCTGCATGTGTTCCTTCTGTGCCCACTGCCAGAAGCCTGGGTTAGCTCCTGTCATGTCGGTCATAATTACAGCCACGGAATCTGGGTTTGCTTTCCTGACTCCAAGGTTCCTGGTCCAGTTCATCCTGTCATCACTGCCAGATGGAGCTCTTTTAAATACCACATCCATCATTTCATGCTCCCTGTCAGGAATCTTCACCAGCTCCCTATTTCCTACTGATATCAAATCTAAACTTCCCTGTTGGAATAGTTCTTTAAGAAATTCTACTTATTAAGCTATCAATTATAAATATTTTTAAAATTGACAATTGTTAGATTTTCAAATACTGTGTATGATGAGATCAAGATTTAATGCAGAAGTAAAAAGAGGATGACTCTGGAAGGCCGAGGCGGGCGGATTGCTCGAGGTCAGGAGTTCGAAACCAGCCTGAGCAAGAGCGAGACCCTGTCTCTACTATAAACAGAAAGAAATTAATTGGCCAACTAATATATATAGAAAAAATTAGCCAGGCATGGTGGCGCATGCCTGTAATCCCAGCTACTCGGGAGGCTGAGGCAGCAGGATTGCTTGAGCCCAGGAGTTTGAGGTTGCTGTGAACTAGGCTGACGCCATGGCACTCACTCTAGCCTGAGCCACAAAGTGAGACTCTGTCTCAAAAATAAATAAATAAATAAAAAAGAGGATGTACTGAGGACTGAATCCAGCCCACAAGCATATTTTATTTTAGAGACAGGGTCTTGCTGTGTTGCCCAGGCTAGACTGGAATTCCTGAGCTCAATCCATCCTTCTGCCTCAGCCTTCCAAGTCACTGTGATTACAAACACAAGCAACCACATCTGGCTTCATATATTTTTTAAATGGAGCCATCCTTTTCAAATAAAAATCCAGATTTCTGATTTCCATTAACAATGGGAAGATATAGAATACTGGAACCACATTTCCACGGGAAAAACTCAGGTAGAGCTGAGAAGAGAGCACTCACTTTAGCGGTGATACGCTCCCTCTAGTTGGTCAGAGTCCCCACGACTCTCTATGACACTACATGGCTCCCTTGGTGCGTTGATGTCAGCTAACTGACCCTTACAGGCACTGAGTTTGCAATCCCGGATTTACAGAAATACAAATAATTAGGGACTCTTTTCACTATTCACAAACCAGCATGATTTGGTCAAGTTCTCAGTTTTCCTCTGCTTAAAATAGAATGAACTCACCCTCAATTTCTTCAATCACTCTGTAACGTGCCCTTATCCTACCATTCATTCACTTCATTCATTCACTCAACACTCATTTACTGAACACCTGTCCTGTGTCAGGGATCTTGCTGGACGTGAGGGATACAGAGATGACTAGGACAGAGCACCGACTTCCCATGTGAGCTCACACTTTTTGGAGCTCACCTTGTTTATCGGCTTCCTAACCACAGGGTGAACTCTGCTATGGGCGTATGTCTGCTGCCTCCCATAAACAAAGGTGCATTTATTCATTTCCCTGGTGTCACTTCCATGCCTATGATGTCAGCTGTCTCTCTGGACCCACTCCAGATCACACCCATCCTGAAAGGCTGCTTGGTACAGTGGAAAGGGTGGCAGTCAAGGGACAAGCTAGAAGATGGGTGAACTACTTCCCACTCTGGGCTTGGTTTCTTTACCGTGAAGCATAGGTTAGCAAGGTGGGGCCTGGAGTCAGACTGCCCTGTCCAAGTGACTGGACAGGTTGCTCAACCTCTCTGAGCTTTAGTTTCCTTCTGTAAATGAAGAATAAGAGGGCATCTGTCTCCTACAGCTGTTGTGAGGCTTGAGTGGTATAGTCCACATGGAGGGCTCAGCACAGCGCCCGGCACATAGCAGTACTTAGTAAATGTTAGCTAAGGGTATCACTGTAGGACATTGTGCAGCTCTAAGCCACTCTTCCTGGACACGTTCCTAGTTGTGTTGCCCCTCAGCACTGTCCCTCCTCCAGACTGCTGCTGCCCTTCGCAGTCAGTCGTGACCGGGCACTATCTGAGTACTGTCAGGCAGGCCTAAGGGCCGGACCCTTATCTTCCACCTCCCCGTGTCAGCGCCCAGCACCTCACAGCAGGGCTTCAATCAGTGGTGTTGAACTCTAGATCTGCAGCCATGAGCCAGCCATGGCAGCCGCTGCAGCTCGAGCCCTGGGGGAGTGGGCCAGGACAGCCGGCAGGGTACAGGGGTACAGGGTTGCTCTGGGCTGAGCATCAACTCTGCTTCTGGAGAGTCCAGAATAAGCCCTTTGCCTTGGGCTCATTCATCCGGAGAGGCAGGTGGATATTGGATTGTTCCCTTCTGCTCCAACAGGCCCTCCGCGCCCTGCAGGAAGAGCAGGCCAGACTGAAGACGAGGCTGCAGGAGCTGCAGCAGCTAAAGAGGGAGCTCAGGGACTCCCCCAGAAACGAGGTAAGGTGGGCAACCAGGTGTGGTCTGGAGAGTTCTTAGTTTTACTCTTGGCCTACCACATTTTTGCTGTGTGACTTCAAATGTGTTACTTGAACTTTCATCTGTCTATGAATCCCATCTTCTCCCAGTAAATGTATTCAGCCCTGGCAAATGGAACTGGGAGCACCTTCCTCCAGGGAGGAGTGGGGTACACCCTTACCCTTGAAGACTGTATCAGCCTCTCTTCCCCCACCTCTAGCTCCCATTCTCAGTGCCTGAGATCCCCCTGGTATTCCGAGGTGACACTCACCGGGGCAGGAAAGTGCCCCAGTCTTTGATTTCCAACTTTCGGATCTGCTGCCCTCTGCCTGGAGGCTCTGCTCTGGTCACCTTCGAAGACCCCAAAGGTGAGTTCAGAGAGGGAGGGAGGGAGGCGGGGAAGTTCCCCAGTGCTGACCCTGTCCCCCTGCCACCAGTGGCTGAGCGGGTGCTGCAACAAAAGGAGCATGTGATTGACATGGAGGAGTGCTGGCTGCGCGTGCAGGTCCAGCCCTTGGAGCTCCCCACGGTGACCACCATCCAGGTGACAGATGGCAGGGTCCTGGGACAGGCAAGGGGTGCCATGTACCTAGACACGGGGAAGTGGGGCTGTGTCTGGGACCACCCCTTCCTGTCTCCCCCTAGGTGTCCAGCCAGATGAGTGGCCAGGGCGTGCTGGTCAGTGGGTTTCCTGCCGACCTCAGGCTGAGTGATGAGGAGCTGCTGGACAAGCTGGAGATCTTCTTTGGCAAGACCAAGAATGGGGGTGGCGACGTGGAGACCCGGGAACTGCTGCAAGGGAGTGCCATGCTGGGCTTTGCTAAGGACGGGGGTAAAGGCCTTGGGGGGAGACTGGGGTACAGGCTGCATGAGGCTGTGAGAGGGCTTAACACTAAAGATCCACCCCTCCCTGTTCCCCACAGTGGCCCAGCGCCTGTGCCAGACTGGCCAGTTCAGAGTGCCACTGGGCAGGCAGCTGGTCCCTCTGACAGTCTCCCCCTATATGAATGGGAACATCCAGAAGGTGGAGGTACGTGGCTAAGTGGTGGGGTGAAGAATGGGGGCTGGGCCGGGTAACCCATCCGTCTGCCAGAAACTTGCCAGGGGCAGGATCAGAGCCCCCATAACCCCCTGACCTATCTGCCACCAGCCCCTCCAGGCCCCCTCAACCCCACTAGGGCACTGCCTGCCCCACCTCAGCCCTGCCCCTTACTCCCATGAGCTTTGCCATCTCCTGGCTCCTTTTCTAGGTCCAGTCCCGGCCAGTGTCCCGCTCGGTGCTGGTGCTCAACATTCCCGACGTCCTGGACGGCCCAGATCTGCACGACATCCTGCAGATCCACTTCCAGAAGCCCACCCGTGGGGGTGGGGAGGTGGAGGCCCTGACAGTTGTACCCCCAGGACAGCAGGGCGTGGCGGTCTTCACCTCCAAGTAGGGCTGCGGGACTGGCCTTCCCATCACTCCCACCCCCTCCGCCAAGGTTCTCAAACTGGGCTGGGGCTGGACCCCTGTGTAAGAGATCTTTATGTTCACCAACAGAGGGCAGGGGTCACACGTTGCAAAACACTTTCGAGAACAGTAAAAGCGTCTGCATGGCATGATGTTCTTCCTCATTTTGCTCAGGAAAGGAAACTTGATTTGGGCACTGAAGGAGGCTGGGGGGAGGGTAGCAGCCCTTACCTGGTGGCAGCACTGGCCCTCCCCAGCTCCCCTGTCCCTCCACTCCCAGAGGTGACATCCAGGACCCAGGGTTTGGCTTTTTATTGACACAAACACAAAGGCAGCTGCGGTAATGGGGTGGGGTACACAAAAGCAAAAATCGCACTTCACAGGCCTCATTTAGACAACGAAGAGGCTGAGCCCATCCCCACCACCTCCCATTGCCACAGCTGGGGCAGTAACCCTCCCTAATCCCAGCTCAGCGAGCAGAGGAGTGACCCTCCGCCTAGGACATCCCCATTTGGGTCCCAGTGACCCAGGTCCTGACCACCCATCTCTGTACTCCCCTGCTCCACCTCCCACCCATGTAAACAAAGTTTGGGGCTGAGTTTAAAAAGCTGCCTCCCTGCTCTGAGAAGGCAGACGGGCCTCCCTTGACTGCAAGGGGAATGTGCTTTGATTTTTTACTTTGGTCCCAGAACAAGAAACAGACAGCATGGCCTCTTGGAGCTCTGGCTACTAAATGTCACACCTATCTGCAAGGCTGAGGAAGCTTCCCCGCCTCTCTCCTCACCCACGGTAGAGGCAGGACATGGCACAGACCATGAGGACGGTGGCTGTTCTGGCCCTGCCCCCAGGAGGCTAGGGGCTGGCCCCCACCCACTGGCACACACACAGATTTTTGGCAGTGTTGTGGGACTGGGGAGGAGTGAAACCCCAGCTCCACCAGAAGGAGGAAGGCACTGGGGAGTACAGGGGTGGAGAAGGAGGCGGGCAACAGCCCCCCAGCCCCTGCCACACACACAAGCACAGGTTTTCGTTGCTAAGGCACTGAGAACAAATCCAGAGAACTCAGTGAAGGGTGGGGGGCTCTGTATCCCTCCCAGAGTCGTGACCTAGGGGAGCAGGTCTGATTCCTGCCCTTGTAAGAGGCAGCCTTGGTTAAGAATGGCAGAAAACCTGGAGGTGGAAGAAGCCCAATTGTGTGCTTAAGAAGTTGGGGACAGAGGACAAGGTCGGGGACTGGGCAGGCCCAGAGGTGGGCGCTGGTCGGCCCAGACTGAAGGGACACTAGGGAGAGACAGGTACATGCTGGACTGGCACAGATTGGCCCCGTATCCTGAGCTGACATTCCGATTTTTTGGGGAGGTGGTGGGGCAGGGGCAGGGGCAGGGGAAGGTGAGGCAGCAGTGGAAACACACGGAACGGGGGCGGGGACTGGCTGATCTTGGCACAAAAGCAGCACAGCAGGCCCAGGGAAAGGGTGGGGGCAGGAAGTAGCCGGTCTCCCTCTGACCCTCCCTGTCCCCTTGGCAGGGCCCAGACATCCAAGTGGTCACTTCCCAACCTCTTCTGAGGACAGGAAGGGGGGTGGGGACAGCCCTGGCCAAAGAGAAAGAACAGGGCAGGGGAGCGGTCACAGCACAGAGACCTGCGGGGGAGAAGGGCACAGCACTACGATGGAGGATGAAATGCGACAGTCTGATGGTCAACAGGACATGGCTTCCCAACGTCCCCCTTCCCAGGTCTCTAGGGTCCCACAGCTCCTTGCCCTAGTTCTCCTTCTCCGGACCAGGAACCAAGAGGACCTTGCCCACGTTCTTCTTCTCCTGCATCTGCTTCATGGCGTCAGCCACCTGGGGAGGAAGAGAAACCGCTGCTCCCAGTGCCCTCTTCCTCCCGGGGACTCCTCCCCTGGGGCCCCCAACCCCCAAGGGTCCTACCCAGGCCCTCCCTGCACAGTCATCACACTCACCTTCTCGAAGGGCCAGACCGAGTCAATGTGGGGTTTGATGTGGCCCTGGTTGTACAGAGCTAGGAGGCGGGCCACCACGCCAGTGACCAGCTCCACCTCACCGTCCAGGTAGCCCAGGTGGAAGCCACACACAGCCCGGTTGGCCTGTAGCAGCTGCAGAGCTGTCACGCTGAACTGATTCCACCACGTGCGGGCCAGGGCCATCAGGTTCCGCTTGGGGCCGGTCAGCAGGTTGGCCATCCCTGAGGGACAAGGTGACATGGCCCATGTATCCAGGTGCCAGGCACCTCCCTGTGTGTCTGCATGTATGCCCGCCCCCTGCAGACCCCCTACGATTATCCACACCAGTGCCAGGGACTGACAGTCACGATAATTCCCAACCTGCTGGTTACCAGGCCCAAACCAACTCTGGCTGCTCAAAAATTGCTCTAACCTTTATGTGTTTACTTTTTGTGTGAAATATTCTTAAAATGAAAACGCACCTCACCCAAGAAGCCCAGGGAGGTAGGACACAAGGAAGGCAGACTGGTTGTTCAGGAATAATCGCCAAACAGGGGCACAGAGATAACACAGAATTTACTATGACTCACATGAAAAGCCAGAGAATGAACGTGCCTGGCACCCAGGAGGCAGCAGTCTGAATGCAACATACAGGCCCCCTCCGAACCCTGATGCTCTCCACAGAGCACCTGTACTCGAAGCACTAACATACAGGCCCCCTCCGAACCCTGATCTTCCCTACAGGGCACCTAAGTCCCTGCCCCTTCCTCATTCAGAAGCCTTGGACCCCTATAAACCACCCCTTAGGCCCACCTCTGGCCCCTAACATCCTCTCTCTGTCCCAGGCCGACTAACTCACCATAGGTGATGACTTTGCCCATGGGTTTGAGGAGGTTGTAGCCCTTGGCAGTATCTGACCCACCTAGAGGGTCCATCACGATGTCCACTCCTGTCACAGGTAGGGGGAGCAGTAGGATCAGCATTAGGATCCACAGATCTGAAGACCCCCTCCCTGCCCTCTGCCCCTTCCCCCATGCCCTGCCCCCCCCACCTTTGGGGGAGATCTTTTTTATCTCATCCACATAGTCAGTCGTGTGGTAGTCGATGGTATGTGTGACCCCATTCTCCTTCAGTGCCTCGTGCTTGCTGGCCGAGGCTGTTCCGAACACTGTCACATTCTCCACCGTACGACACAGCTGCACAGCTGCCATGCCCACACCCCCTGCAGTAAGACACGCATAAGCTGGGGATATGGAGTCACCCGGCCACCACTCTCTGTTCAAGCCTCCCAAGGATCCAGCCCATCACCTTCATTTTGTCTAGGCTCATTTTGGGACCCATATCCAATTTCCATGATTGAGAATTAGGGAAGGGTGGCTGGCTAGGAGGGGGTGCTGGGTAAGGGCACGTTGCTAAGGATAGCACACTAGGCTGGACCTGGTGCCTGAATGTTGCCACGGCAACTACACTGCAAAGGCCTCTGGGCGCCACAGGCCAAGGCAGCCTGGTGTTGCCATGACAACAATCCAGACAGGCTGCAGGGAAGGGGCCTGGAAGGAAATCTGGGTGGGGTAAGGAGGAGGGTTCAAAGGGAAGGGACCTGTCACCTGCAGCCATGTGTACCAAGACGCTGTGGCCAGGCTGTAGGTTGCCAAAGTCAAAGAGGACCATGTAGGCTGTGATATAATTGACCAGCAAGGCAGCAGCTTCCTCAAAGGTCATGGCCTCAGGCATCAGAAAGGTCTGGGTTGCTGGCACAGTCACCTCCTCCTGCCACATTCCTGACCGGACCAACGCCATCACCCGGTCCCCTGCCTTGAAGAATGGAAGAAGAGCATCATTCAGTCACTCATTCATTTACCCAAAGGCTCACCTTCCGCTAGGTATGAGACCCTCTTCCAGACGAAGTGGCAGTAGAAGCAGCAGTGATAGTCATGCTAATAATAATAACATCATCATCAACAACACCTCACTTTTACTGACCGCTGACTGAGGGCCACGCCCAACTCCAAGTTGAGTGTCTGGACAGGAGCGGGTGCTGGGTGAGAGCATGTTATATAAATGTTCAAATAATCCTTACAGGCTCTTTGAGGTTGATACTATCCTTATCTCCATTGTACAGATCTAACACTTCACTATTGTGTAAGATCCGTGAATGCAAGAAGCTTACAGTTAGGAGAGCATGAAGTGTTATTGAAGAGATCAAACTGCTTTGGTTACAAAAATGGGTTCCAGTGTTTACTGCAGCATGACCTTGGGCAAATAAAAATTATTTAACCTTTTTGAGCTCTAGTTTTCTTACCTGTAAATTAGGGCAGTTATGAGGATCGAATGGGGAAAAAAATCATTCAATAATCTTTAGCAGGATGTCTGGCACACAGTAAACACTTAAGTAATGTTAGCTAATAATCATGATAATAACAGCAGCAAGGAGGGGAAGTCACACAATCAAATAACTGAAGGAACAGGACGGCATGCGGTAAGGGCCATACCAGAGCGCAGGTAAAGGTCTCTGAGCTCTCAGGGCTGGGTGTGATCACCTCAGAAGTACTGAGCTAGCACTGGGAACCCAGAGGACACCTTCACCCAGGGATGGTGCAGGAGGGGTGAGGGACAGCAAGAGCCACACAGTCCCCCCACACCGGAAAGGGCTTTTTTTCCCCACCAGAGCCTCTTTGTAGGAGATGGGGGCAAAAATAACAGAAACTTTTCCTCCAGCTTAGCAAGTGGGGTCAGAGAAGAGCAAGGGAAGAGGGGCGTCTCAGGAGAAAGGAAGGCCTCTCTTCCCTCTCTGAAGAGCATGGAGAGGGAGGTGTGGGTGCTGTTCCAGGACAATCCGGGTCTGTCTGGGTTCTGCCAGGAATGATGGGAATTCTGTATATTAACGAGACTTAGGGTCCATGGGGAAGGGGGATGGGACTCCCACACATGCCCTTTTTCATGTTCTCAAACCCCCACACTCCATTGAAGAGGAGGCCTGAGGGCAGGTTGGGGTCTTTCCCTGCAAGTTCTGGCCTGAGATGAGGTCTGGGGGATGGAAGTCCTTTACCTGAGACTTGGGACTAGCAGGTGCAGAAACAACCCAGAAGAGCTGGGAAGACTGCAGTGGTCAGTCGAGGTCATGGCCAGATTTGGCACAGAACAAACCTCACTGACCCTGGGTCATGCGTAACCCTCCGCCTA